ATAACTTTTCTATGGAAAAAGTTTGTTATCGACAACTTTTCTATGGAAAAAGTTTGTTATCGACAACTTTTCTATAGAAAAAAGTTGTTATCGACAACTTTTCTATAGAAAAAAGTTGTTATCGACAACTTTTCTATAGAAAAAGTTGTTATCGACAACTTTTCTATAGAAAAAAGTTGTTATCGACAACTTTTCTACAGAAAAAAGTTGTTATCGACAACTTTTCTATAGAAAAAAATTGTTATCGACAACTTTTCTATAGAAAAAAATTGTTATCGACAACTTTTCTATAGAAAAATTTGTTATCGAAAACTTTTCAATACAAAAAAATTTTTATCGAAAGCCTTTCTATATGGAAAAATTGTTATCGACAAGTTTTCTATACAGAAAAGTTGTTACCGACAAGTTTTCTATAAAGAAAAGTTATTATCGATAACTTTTCTATGCAGAAAAGTTATTATCGATAACTTTTCTATGCAGAAAAGTTATTATCGATAACTTTTCTATGCAGAAATGTTATTATCGATAACTTTTCTATACAGAAAACTTATTATCGATAACTTTTCTATATAGAAAACTTATTATCGATAACTTTCCATGCAAAAAAGTTTTTATCGATAACTTTTCTATGCAGAAAAGTTATTATCGATAACATTGCTATGCAGAAAAGTTATTATCGATAACTTTTCTATGCAGAAAAGCTATTATCGATAACTTTTCTGTACATTAAAGTTGTTATCGACAACTTTTCTATACAGAACGGTTGTTATCGAACACTTTTTCTTGCTATCGATAACTTTTTTTAACCTTTTCCCCATTAAAATTTGGTCCTCAACCAAAAATTTTTCTGTCATGTTTTTTTAAATTGTCAATTTGTAATGAATATCCTCATTTGTTTCGCGCACACACACATGTACACATGCACTCTTCATTGTCTGCACAGACTTCATTTTGAGGCTTTTGAACATGTTCCTTCGCAAATATGAAAACAGGCATCTTCTCCATTTCAAAGAAACCTCAACCCGCAGATTCTTTCGCGTTGCCAGGGTACAAAACTTTTATTTCTTTGTTAAGTGAGCAACGTTTTGGAAAAGTTGTTGGCATTTTCTTCCTTTTTTCGGTAGACGAACACGACTGACTACACGGCGAAAACAATGAAAATGTTGGAGAATTTTAAAATTGAAACAGCTATTTGTTCTTTGACAGACTTCGAGTTAATTGCCAAGTTTATTTGTCAGTCGGATAAAGGGAGGGAGGAGGGGAGGAGGGAAGGATAGATGAGAGGAAGAGGGAAGAATGGGGATATGAAGAACACATGGAAAATGTAGAGTATGGTTAAATAGCTACAGTGGAGTTTTAATGGGGGATTATATGGAGATTTGCAAAAATTAGGAAGAAAACACCGGAAGTGGGAGGATATTTTTCGTGGAAACATATTCAACCGATATAATTTTTTTTTTTATTTTATTTATTTATTTATTTATTTATTTATTTATTTATTTTTTTTTTTTTTTTGAAAATTAACCACATTTTTTTATTTTTATTTTTTTTTTTTTTAAATTTTGTGCCAACAAAATATGTTCTCGCTCTGCCATCAACATTTAATTGATTTAGTGTGACAAAAATCGGATTGTCCCCAACATCACGAATAAAATTGTCAAAAAAAAATCATCCCGAAAGATATGCCCACTTTTAGACTATGAATTAGGTTGCCAACACCATCAATGCCACAAAAACGTTGCATATTTTTAGGGGAATATTTTAATCCTCAGGTCTTTAAAGTTCATCTCTTTCGGCTGTGGTGTTGGCGACTTTTCACCAATGGCCGGAGCATTCAAAAATGTGTTCTTCATGGTGTTTACTTCAACCACTCCAATCGACTCCACCCCCATCCCCCCCTTCCCAGTCCATTGAATATTGTTTGTCACTTTGTTTTTCTCGTTGCCAGCATGTGCTGTTGTTGAGAACATGTGAATGACCATTAAACACATTCCGGATAAAGTTTTTTTGTTGCTGTAGGTTTTCCTGAAATGCTTCAAACAAATTCGCGATGGTTGCTAAAAATAGGGTAAACCTATTAGGGATCTCATATTTTTAAGGAAGACTTTGAATCTCCCTTATTGATAGGACAGCCAAAAAGTAGGCTACAAATTATCTTTCATAATCGAAAAAGCCTTTATTCCTTACCTATAACTTGAAAGCTTCCAGGATAACTTAACAAAACAGGACCTCCTTATTTTACTTTTAAATATTTCGGTAAAAATCACTCACCCCCTTAACGAACACCCTTTTCCCGGTTCATCAAAAATGGGCATTTTGCCAATATCGCAGAGCATCCTTCAGAGGTGAGTGAGTGAGTTCGCAAGTTCTGGTTATTATAACGCTCAACGCTGTTTTCATTTACGGACAACGAGTTTCAGGCCAACATTTTTTGTTGTTATTGCTCTTGTTTTCGCTGTTGTTGTACCACGGTTTTTAAAGTAAAAACTAATTTATTTTATGTGGATTTCCCATGCCGGAAATGTTGCTGTTGTTACTATTTTTAGTCGTAATTATTGAAACAACAAAACATTATTCGCTGTTGGGATATGGAAAAAAATAACAAGGATAACAGCAGCAACAAGGACACCATGAAATGTTCAAATTCGCCAAACTTTTGCTTAATTATCATCTTTAATAATTAATAAATATCTAATCTAATAATTATGGCTGTTTTCATAATCAGTATGTGGCTGCGATTATTGGCGGAGCTTTTTTTGTCCGAGGTTTCCAACGACCCATGAGAGTAACTTTGTGATTAGAAAAGTTTAGTTTTGCAGCGGAAAAAGTGATAATCGAAAACAATAACTTTTTACATTGCGGTTGGTTTTGGTCCACAGAGAAATGCGAACGATTCAAGTAGTTTATCGATAGCAATTTTTTGTACAGAAAATTCATCGATATCAAGGACAGTTACAATTTTCCCTATAGAACAAAATTGTCGACAACCACTTTTCTGTATCAAAAGTGGTCCATAATAACTTATCTACATAGAAAAGTTGTCGATAACAGATTTTCTGCACAGAAAATTTGTCGACAAGAACGATTCTGCATAGAAAAGTTGTCGATAATAATCTTTTTCTATAGAAAAGAAAAGATAACAATCTTTTTCTATGAAAAAGTTTTAGATAACAATTTTTTTTCTATAGAAAAATTGTCGATAACAATATTTTTCTATAAAAAAAAATATCGATAACAATATTTTTATATCGAAAAAATATCGATAACACATGTTTGCTATAGAAGAATTGTCGATAACAACAATTTTAACTTGTCGATAACTTACTTTTTATAGAAAAGTTTTCCGCATTTCCGCATGGAAAAGTTGTCTATAACAGTTTTCCCGTATGAAAAAATTGTCGATAATAATTTTTTTTCTATGGAAAAATTGTCGATAACAATTTTTTTTTTGGAAAAATTGTCGATAACTATTTTTTTCTATGGAAAAATTGTCGATAATAATTTTTTTTCTATGAAAAAATTGTCGATAATAATTTTTTTTTCTATGGAAAAATTGTCGATAACATTTTTTTTCTATAGAAAAATTGTCGATAACAAATATTTTTCTATAGAAAAATTGTCGATAACACATTTTTTCTATAGAAAAATTGTCGATAACACACTTTTTCAATAGAAAAATTTTCGATAACAATTTTCTATAGAAAAATTTTCGATAACAACAATTTTCTATAGAAAAGTTGTCGATAACAACAATTTTCTATAGAAAAGTTGTCAATAACAACAATTTTCTATAGAAAATTTGTCGATAACAACAATTTTCTATAGAAAAGTTGTCGATAACAACAATTTTCTATAGAAAAGTTGTCGATAACAACAATTTTCTATAGAAAAGTTGTCGATAACAACAATTTTCTATAGAAAAGTTGTCGATAACAACAATTTTCTATAGAAAAGTTGTCGATAGCACATTTTTTCTATATAGAAAATTTGTCGATAACACATATTTTCTATATAGAAAATTTGTCGATAACACATATTTTCTATATAGAAAATTTGTCGATAACACATATTTTCTATATAGAAAATTTGTCGATAACACATATTTTCTATACAGAAAATTTGTCGATAACACACATTTTCTATATAGAAACACATATTTTCTATATAGAAAATTTGTCGATAACACATATTTCTATATAGAATATTTGTCGATAACACATATTTTCTGTATAGAAAATTTGTCGATAACACATATTTTCTGTATAGAAAATGATAACACATATTTTCTATATAGAAAATTTGTCGATAACAACAACGATAGCAATATTTTTCTATAGAAAAGGTTGTCAGTATCGATATTTTTCATAGAAAAGTTGTCGATAACCATATTTTTTATAGAAAAGTTGTCGATAACCATATATTTTTATAAAAAATTTATCGATAACAACTATTTTTTGTACAGAAATTTTGTCCATTCCAACTTTTTTCTATAAAAAATTTGTCGACAACACATTTTTTCTATAGAAAAATTTTCGATAACAATATTTTTCTATAGAAAAATTTTTGATAACTATATTTTTCTATAGAAAATTTTTTGATAACAATATTTTTCTATAGAAAATTTTTTGATAACAATATTTTTCTATAGAAAAATTTTTGATAACAATATTTTTCTATAGAAAAATTTTCGATAACAACTTTTTCCTAAAGACAAGTTGTCGATAACAACTTTTTCCTAAAGAAAAGTTGTCGATAACAACTTTTTCTTAAAGAAAAGTTGTCGATAACAACTTTTTTCTATAGAAAATTTGTCGATAACAACTTTTTTCTATAGAAAATTTGTCGACAACAAGATTTATCTAGTGAAAAATTGTCGATAAAAAGATTTATCTACTGAAAAATTATCGATAGTAAATTTTCTGTATAAAAAAAAATATTTACCTTTGATAACTTTTCCTAATAAATTCTTAAATTTTTATCATCAAAATAAAACTCCTTGCTTTATTATTTCAAATAAGTTATAAATTTTTATTTTAGTTTTTTTTTATTACTAACAAATAAAATTCAATTTTGTGGTTTTCTATTCCTGGGTTAGTAGTACAAAAATATTTTCCAATAAAAATATCGATTATTTTTTTTTCTTTCTTTCTTTCATAATTATTATTTAACACAACAATCTTTGTTAGCAAATGAGGAAATAAAAACAAACACAACTATTCGGATGTTAGGGACAAACACACGAAAGGGATAGGGAGGAGAAGAGATAGAAAAACGTAATACAACAACACACAAAACTCGAACTGTAAATCTGCGATAATAGCTGGTCACAAGGAGCCGAAAGAAACGTTAGAACTTAAATAATAAGTTATTATAGCCAAGGAGCAGCAAATGGCAGAAGAAATACCATAATTATATGAAAACATCAAGAATACTTAACGAAGACGCCAAGAACCCTGGTCGTAAGTAAAAGAAGAAGACTAAGAAAATGGAGAAACAAAAGCTAAGCCAAAATGGTTTTGACTTTTTGAGCTGTAATGCTGTAACAGTTTTCAACTTTAAACCTGAAATTGAGGTTGAGGAGAAAAACTATGGCAAAGTAAGTCCAAAAAAAGAAAACAACTGTGGTCGCAGGTCCTTTGGTTGGTCTGTCATTGCAAGGGGAAAGTAACTTCGTCTCAACCAAGCATTCACACAGAATACCCTCTGGCAAAACTATAAATAATACCCAAAAAAAGAATGAAATAAAATAATAAAGAATTATTTTAACAAAGAGAAGGAACAGAAAAAGAAGAAAGGAAAAACACAGCTGGAACTGAAACTGAATCCGTTATTATGGCCACTTTACCAGGTTCTTGTCGTACAATTTTCTCAGGGTCCTTTAAAAAGACCCCCTTCCAAAACAAGACAAAAGGAAGCAAAACTTAAACACAGAAAAAAAATAAAAAAGAAAACACTTAAAAAATAACAATTTTTGTAGGTTTCTGGCACGCACAGACAAGCAGGGTTTTAAGGACTTTCACTTTATTACGATGCAACAAACTATTTGCCCACCGCCCTCCATATACAAAAGTGATAGCTGTTTCCGACTTGTTTTACTTTGGTTATTTTCGTTCATTGTGCGTTCATTCCTTTTTCCACTCCCTCTCTCGCATCTAGGCCTTTGTCCTTTGTTTGGCATAATCGAGGGCCGCCACCAATATACGTTTCTCCAGCACACGATACTCCAGTATCATGGCCGCCCGCGACGTCATTGCCACTTGCTGGTCCTTAACCAAGGCTAATTGCTTTTCATCTTCCTCCAGTGTCTGGGGGAAGACACGCAACAGCAACATCAAACGTGTCTGCAGATACTGCCACGTTTTCGATTCCAATGACGTCTCCAAAGCACAATCAATGTGCAATAAATCCATAGCCCGTTCCGAGTTTATCCAATGATCCAATTGTTCCTCGTTCATGTTGAAGACACGTACAAAGGCCAAAAGTTCGGGTGAAATAAAATCAGGTGCTGGCAGTACTTTCAATTCACTGTTCTTTGGTATGCTGAGGAGTTCCAAAAGTTTGGCACGTTTTTCGAACAGGACATCCGAGGGACTGAGGCCAAGTTTGATCGATACTTTGTCCTTGGGATTGGACGCATTAATGAAACTGGAAAAGAAAAAAAGAATAATTACTGAAAAAATTCAAAATTTCCATGGGAATATATATCGATAACAATAAACAATTAATTAACTTTTGTTTATAGAAAAGTTGTCGATAATAACTTTTCTTTATAAAAAAGTGGTCGATAGTAACTTTTATTTATAAAAAAGTGGTCGATAGTAACTTTTATTTATAGAAAAGTTATCGATAACAAGTTTTTCTTATAGAAAAATTGTCGATAACAATTTTTCCGCATAGAAAAATTGTCGATAATAATTTTTCCGCATAGAAAAATTGTCGATAACAATTTTTCCGCATAGAAAAATTGTCGATAACAATTTTTCCGCATAGAAAAATTGACGATAGATAAATTGTCGATAGCAACAATTTTCTATAGAAAAATTATCGATAACACATATTTTCTATATAGAAAATTTGTCGATAACACATATTTTCTATATAGAAAATTTGTCGATAACACATATTTTCTATATAGAAAATTTGTCGATAACACATATTTTCTATATAGAAAATTTGTCGATAACACATATTTTCTATATAGAAAATTTGTCGATAACACATATTTTCTATATAGAAAATTTGTCGATAACACATATTTTCTATAGAAAAATTGTCGATAACAATTTTTTTCTATTGAAAAATTGTCGATAACAATTTTTTCCTATTGAAAAATTGTCGATAACAATTTTTTTCTATTGAAAAATTGTCGATAACATTTTTTTCTATTGAAAAATTGTCGATAACAATTTTTTTCTATTGAAAAATTGTCGATAACAATTTTTTTTCTATAGAGAAATTGTCGATAACAACTTTTTTTCTACAGAAAACTTGTCGATAACATCTTTTTTTCGATAACAACTTTTCGTTATAGAAAAGTTGTCGATAACAACTTTTCGTTATAAAAAAGTTGTCGATAACAACTTTTCGTTATAAAAAAATTGTCGATAACAACTTTTCGTTATAGAAAAGTTGTCGATAACACATATTTTCTATATAGAAAAGATGTCGATAACACATATTTTCTATATAGAAAAGTTGTCGATAACACATATTTTCTATATAGAAAAGTTGTCGATTACAACTTTTCTCTGTATAGAAAAGTTGTCGATAACAGTTGTCGATAACAACTTTTCTGTATAGAAATGTTGTCGATAACAACTTTTCTTTATATAGAAAATTTATAGAAAAGATATCGATAAAAAATTGTCTTTATAGAAAAGTTGTCGACAACAAGTTTTCTTTATAGAAAAGTTGTCAATAACAAGTTTTCTTTATAGAAAAGTTGTCAATAATAAATTTTCTTTACAGAAAAGTTATCGATAACAACTTTTCCGTATAGAAATGTTGTCGATAACAACTTTTCTGGATAGAAAGCTTGTCGATAACAATTTTTCTGTATTGAAAAATTGTCGATAACAATTTTTCTGTATTGAAAAATTGTCGATAACAATTTTTCTGTATTGAAAAATTGTCGATAACAATTTTTCTGTATTGAACAATTGTCGATAACAATTTTTCTGTATTGAAAAATTGTCGATAACAATTTTTCTGTATTGAAAAATTGTCGATAACAATTTTTCTGTATTGAAAAATTGTCGATAACAATTTTTCTGTATTGAACAATTGTCGATAACAATTTTTCTGTATTGAAAAATTGTCGATAACAATTTTTCTGTATTGAAAAATTGTCGATAACAATTTTTCTGTATTGAAAAATTGTCGATAACAATTTTTCTGTATTGAAAAAATGTCGATAACAATTTTTCTGTATTGAAAAATTGTCGATAACAATTTTTCTGTATTGAAAAATTGTCGATAACAATTTTGCTGTATTGAAAAATTGTCGATAACAATTTTTCTGTATAGAAAAGATATCGATAACAAATTTTCTTTATAGAAATGTTATCGATAACAAATTTTCCTAACTATTCTATATAGAATAGTTATCGATAACAACTTTTCTCTATAGAAAAGTTATCGATAACAACTTTTTTCTATAGAAAAGTTATCGATAACAACTTTTTTCTATAGAAAAGTTATCGGTAACAATTTTTCTCTATAGAAAAGTTATCGATAACAATTTTTCTCTATAGAAAAGTTATCGATAACAACTTTTCTCTATAGAAAAGTTATCGGTAACAATTTTTCTCTATAGAAAAGTTATCGATAACAATTTTTCTTTATAGAAAAGTTATCGATAACAACTTTTCTGAATAGAAAAGTTGTCGATAACAACTTTTCTGAATAGAAAAGTTGTCGATAACAACTTTTCTTTCTAGAAAAGTTGTCGATAACAACTTTTCTCTGTAGAAAAGTTGTCGATAACTACTTTTCTCTGTAGAAAAGTTATCGATAACTACTTTTCTCTGTAGAAAAGTTATCGATAACAACTTTTCTTTATAGAAAAGTTATCGATAAAAACTTTTCTTTATAGAAAAGTTGTCGATAACAACTTTTCCGTATAGAAAAGTTGTAGATAATAACTATTCTGTTTGTTATCGATTCTTTTCCACTCACCCATTGTGTATCATCAAATCCGAGTTGGTCCGATCTCCATAATAAATAAAGATCTGCTCCCCCTTCTTGTAGTCCTCCTGGGCGCTACTCTCCACCTGTTGCGTTTCCATGTTGAAGAAAGTGGTGATGGTGCCATCGCGATGATTTGCCATATCCCAGAAGGGTATCAAGGCGGCAATCGTGTCCGATGTGTCACCCTCACGCTTTGGCTTGGTGCGAGGTATCAGATTTTCGCGGGTCATGACCGTTGAGACAGCCCATCTGTAAGATAAAAAAAAATTTTAAATTATTAGAAAAATATTCCTCTATAATTGAAAGCATGGCCTCGAGGTAGGGCCAGTCATGGTTGGGGGTGCGGGAGGTAGCACAAACCCAATTTAAAATTAATTACCACATCTAAAATTCGCTCAAGACCATAACAATTTGTTGTTCGCCATTATCCTTGTAACAGACAAAAACTTTGTCCGTCTCTCTTAAAAGTTAAACCCCAAATGCAAATGGTGTGGTTGCTGTTGAGTTCATAAAAATGCCTAAAACTATGCTGTAATTTTTCAACTTTTTTTACACTTGAATAATTTGTTTTAACAACCATACTTTTGAGGTTGCCGTCTAAGGACCGGCAAAAAAACACAAGAACACAGCTCTGAGGCAGACCACAACCAATGTTTGACAAACGGAGTGAAAGCAGGAGGCGAGGTTGTAAACAGAAGACCAACAGAACAGGGTAATAAAATAAACAACACCAACAGCAAAAGCAACTTGAGCGCTAACAGCCATCAAAGTCAATCGGCCTAGTGAAGAAAATTTGAAATGTTGAAGAGGATGGAGATAAGGTTGTCATCAACGAAATTTTCGGTGACGACTATGACATCACCACAACTTACATCCTCTCATCATCAACACTCCAACGCAGTCTGAAAGTTGTAAAACTTCCATCATCATCCTCATCATTATCAGGGCAACAAGGACTTTAGTTTTAACTTTTCCGTTACCATAGCCATCATCAGCGGCCAAATAACTGGTGCCTCTTCTCCCGCGGTATTCCTCCGCCAGTCTTGGTGTCATTACTAATGAGCTTTAAGCCTCTAATCCTTTCAGCCACACAAAAATAAAAACAAAATTAAAAAGCCAAAAAGAAATGATGTTGGGCTTCATCATCATCCACATCGCTGTTATCGGCAATTTTCCGTTAGAGAAAATTTGTTAACTCCATTTTTCCCACACACAGAGGTTGTTATCGAAAACTCCATCACCAGAAAAACATTGGACAGGCCTTACTTCCTTAAACCTTAAACAGAACCCCCTTCGACCAGTAAAAACCATTTTTCAACAAGAAGAAGGCCAATGTCTGCCACCACTTAACCTACTCTTCTCATGACGAGAGAGCACAAAATTTCCATGCCGTGAAGTGGGACACAAAGCAAGCCTTAAAGTATGCAACAATTATATGCATAACAACATAAGTAAAAGCTATGCTGCTCCTCGACATTCTCTCATTCCCTCCGGCCTTACAAGACCACCACAAATGTCAGTTATCGTTTCCAATTGCCATGAGTGTCTTTCGAGCTGGGGGTTAGGGAGGACACAAGTGGCTTTAAGGTAGCCCCAACGTTTTGTGTGACCCACATTAAAAAAATGCATCGAGTTTTGCTACGAAAATTTAATAACCTTTCCTTTACCCCATAACTGTTTCGCACGACTAACAATCAAATTTCCATGTGACCTGAGCAAAAGGAGAGCGTGAAAAAAAAACCAGGCCGCCAAAAATGACAATGAAGTTGTCGCAAACTGATGCCAGAGAGGGGGAGGGGGAGAGAGTAAAAGTTTAAGGAAAATGAATTTTGACTCTTTCTTTTCTTGTGGCGTAATTTAATTATGGCCGACTTTTTATTGAAATTAAATTGCAAAGACCAACCTGATGTGGGACAAATATTATTGGGACGAAGGACAAGGGTTTTTTCATTTCATTTTTTCCTGGAAAGTAGCTGCTGCCAGCAGAAACGCCATGCCTTTTAGAAATAGTTTCTCCGAAGTTTAAGTTTTAATTTTTTTTGAAGGTAGACGGCTAAAACATAGCTGCCTCCCCTATCTCCTTAAGGACATACCTAACTCTCCCTAACGACTTCGAAGATATTTTTAATCAGACATAACTTATGCAGACTTATTCTTACCAACAATCTCTGAATTACTGAGACAGTCATGGAGTTCCGTGAAGCTGCCTGCATGCCTGCATTCGGATATTGTCATAACTGGTTGAAATTTCCAGTTGCCTGAATGTGACGTTAACATAATTAAATCTTAAATGAAATTGTAAATGCAGGCGGACGTTTTAATGGCTTTGGATGAGAGGACGGGGAAAAGGCAAATGAAAGGGGTAAACTATAAAAAGCAGAGATGTTATCGACAACTTTTCTATGCGGAAAAGTTAATATCGACAACTTTTCTGTGCAGAAAAGTTACTATCGATAACTTTTCCATGCAGAAAAGTTACTATCGATAACTTTTCCATGCAGAAAAGTTACTATCGATAACTTTTCCATGCAGAAAAGTTATTATCGATAACTGTTCTATGCAGAAAGGTTACTATCGATAACTTTTCTATGCAGAAAGGTTACTATCGATAACTTTTCTATGCAGAAAAGTTATTATCGATAAATTTTCTCTGCAGAAAAGTTATTATCGATAACTTTTCTATGCAGAAATGTTACTATCGATAACTTTTCTATGCAGAAAAGTTACTATCGATAACTTTTCTATGCAGAAAAGTTACTATCGATAACTTTTCTATGCAAAAAAATTACTAACGATAAGTTTTCTATGCAGAAAAGTTACTATCGATAACTTTTATATGCAGAAAAGTTACTATCGATAACTTTTCTACGCAGAAAAGTTATTATCGATAACTTTTCTCTGCAGAAAAGTTATTATTGATAACTTTTCTATGCAGAAAAGTTATTATTGATAACTTTTCTATGCAGAAAAGTTATTATCGATAACATTTCTATGCAGAAAAGTCATTATCGATAACTTTTCTTTGCAGAAAGGTCATTATCGATAACTTTTCTTTGCAGAAAAGTCATTATCGATAACTTTTCTATGCAGAAAAGTTATTATCGATAACTTTTCTATGCAGAAAAGTTATTATCGATAAGATTTCTATGCAGAAAAGTCATTATCGATAACTTTTATTTGCAGAAAAGTCATTATCGATAACTTTTCTTTGCAGAAAAGTCATTATCGATAACTTTTCTTTGCAGAAAAGTTATTATCGATAACTTTTCTATGCAGAAAAGTTATTATCGATAACTTTTCTATGCAGAAAAGTTATTATCGATAACTTTTCTATGCAGAAAAGATATTATCGATAACTTTTCTATGCAGAAAAGTTATTATCGATAACTTTTCTATGCAGAAAAGTTATTATCGATAACTTTTCTATGCAGAAAAGTTATTATCGATAACTTTTCTATGCAGAAAAGTTATTATCGATAACTTTTCTATGCAGAAAAGTTATTATCGATAACGGAAAAGTTGTTATCAAGGTGTTATGTGTAAACTCAGAATAACACAATTTCAACCCGTCAAAAGTAAATATCAACTTTTAGTTCCCCACTTGCGGTTGCCTTACAAACTCATCCAAAATGACAGTTAACTTTCCGTTTTGGAAACTATGATGCAAACTTTATTAAAATACTGATTATTCAATTACATCTTCCACTCGCTTGCTTACTTTTGGCCCTCACGGCGAGGAGAACAGAAATTGTAATTTGCTTCATGAAGATGAGATACGAACTGGCAAGTTGCAGATATTCAAGTAAAGAAGAAAATTTCGCTGGCAGATTAGAAGAGAAGAGAAAGAATTGCAAAAGAAAAAATAATCCCCCTAGACATTGGAGGAATGAAAGTGTCGGTAGAACAGCTCGAAGATTCTAACTTTACAAGAGTATCATATCCTGCAGATCCACTTGAGAACTTCACTTCAATTAGTAATGGATGTCGTGCTGTGGCTGAGTTCCTTTTTCTAGTGGATGCGTTGGATGAGTGGTTTAAAGTTCTTCTCCTTCCCATCCTCCTGCCAAGGAGAAAAAACCACAGGATTTTTATTTTCTTTTTTTAATTTTTGCTCCTCACAAGGACGTATATCTAGTGGCTGTCGAAGGATAAATTACAACGTGACTCTCGAATATAATTGCATTTCATAGCTTATAACTGCAAGCATTAACGTGTTGTGGAGCTTATATGTCTCAGCCGCGTTACAACTTGAGAGCAGAGAAAGATGAACTTAAATTCCTAAAAGGTAAATTGAAAACTTACAAGGCAGGAGGTTACGAAATCCGCAGAGTTAATAGGTTTCATGGGTTATTGACACTGCAGCCAGATTGGGTGTTTGTCACTCCCTACCCCATTTCTCGGCGTTGAAGGCACTCTGATGTAGTCAATTATTGATATCCTCTCAATCACCTATCGACTTTATTGCATTAATTTATCCAGGACATAACTTCAATTTCCCTCCCGCCTTTCTCCGCCCCCTTTTCTTTCCCGCCCACAACATGAGCGTTATTGACTTGATTACTGTCACTTGTTATCGAACGCTTCGAGCAGATTATTATGGCATATGAGTGCTGGCACTTCACCCCATTTTACGATGTGTGTGTGGTTGTGAAGGTGGTTGTCATTGCTGTCATGACAGGCAAACCAATAAATGGTGGAATTATTTTACATGTGTGGGGGAAAGAACCCCTCTCCTACATACATGTATGTATATACTTTTTTTTCTCCCTTGTAACCTTTTCAGATATTATCGCCAACTTTAAAATAAAGGGAAAAATATCACTGGCACTTTAAAAAAAAAAATCATGAAATTTCGAAATTGTTATCGATAATATGTCTTTACATAAATATTATTTAGCGACAATTTTCTTCGGCAGACAAAATTTGCTCCATGAGTTTTCTGCCCAGAAAAATTGTCTCATCTGCGGTCATAAAATTAATTACCTTCTCAGGTTTTCAATTCAATAATCTGAAATAGATTGAATTTACCGAAACTTTAATTTGAGTAGGAGCTCCTTTTGAGGGTGTGAAGCAATATCTGTACTTTACAACCACAAGAACAATCGCAGACATTTTGAATATTCAAAATGAGGTGCTAATCAATGTTTTGGGGAGGAGAATTGACATCCAAATGATAAACATTTAATTTCATTCCCAAATCAACAGAATTTACATTTTAATTGAAATTTTATCGAAATGCTCAACATTTAATCTCTGTCGATATTCTTAATGGAATTGAATTAATAATGGGAAATTTACACCTTCGTGATAAGGCATATTCACCCACACCTTAGCACTTAGTTGAACACATTCAGAATATACAATTGTTGTCGGTGAACCGAAAATCAAAATATAATTAAGTGTGCAATTAAGCTAATAATTAATCGATGGAAATCTGGTCTGTTATCGACAACTTTTCTATACGGAAAAGTTGTTATCGGCAACTTTTCTATACGGAAAAGTTGTTATCGACAAGTTTTCTAGGCGGAAAAGTTGTTATCGACAAGTTTTCTAGGCGGAAAAGTTGTTATCGACAACTTTTCTATGCGGAAAATTTATTATCGACAACAAAAAATTGTTATCGACAACTTTTCCATACGGAAATGTTGTTATCGACAACTTTTCCACACAGAAGAGTTGGTATCGGCTACTCTTCTATACAAAAAAGTTGGCATCAACAACATTTCTATACAGAAAAGTAATTATCGACAAAATTTCTATACCGAGAAGTTGTTATCGACAACTTTTCTATTCAAAAAAGTCGTTACCGACAACTTTTCTATACGGAAAAGTTGTTATAGACAATTTTTTTTGCACGGAAATGTTGTTATCGACAACTCTTCTATAGACACAAGTCGTTATCGACAACTTTTCTATCGAGACAAGTCGTTATCGACAACTTTTTTATGCAGAAAAGTTGTTATCGACAACTTTTCTATACGGAAAAAGTTGTTATCGACAACTTTTCTATACGGAAAAAGTTGTTATCGACAACTTTTCTATACGGAAAAAGTTGTTATCGACAACTTTTCTATACGGAAAAGTTGTTATCGACAAATTTTTTATACGGAAAAGTTGTTATCGACAACTTTTCTATACGGAAAAGTTGTTATCGACAACTTTTCTATACGGAAAAGTTGTTATCGACAACTTTTCTATACGGAAAAGTTGTTATCGACAACTATTCTATACGGAAAAGTTGTTATCGACAACTATTCTATACGGAAAAGTTGTTATCGACAACTTTTCTATGCGGAAAAGTTGTTATCGACAACTTTTCTATACGGAAAAGTTGTTATCGACAACTTTTCTATACGGAAAAGTGGTTACCGACAACTTTTCTATACGGAAAAGTGGTTATCGACAACTTTTCTATACAGAAAAGTGGTTATCGACAACTTTTCTACACAGAAAAGTTGTTATCGGCCAACTTTCTACACAGAAAAGTTGTTATCGGCCAACTTTCTACACAGAAAAGTTGTTATCGGCCAACTTTCTACACAGAAAAGTTGTTATCGACAACTATTCTACACAGAAAAGTTGTTATCGACAACTATTCTACACAGAAAAGTTGTTATCGACAACTTTTCTATACGAAAAAGTTGTTATCGAAAATTTAATTATACGGAAAAGTTGTTATCGACAACTTTTCTATACGGAAAAGTTGTTATCGATTACTTTTCTATACGGAAAAGTTGTTATCGACAACTTTTCTAGACGGAAAAGTTGTTATCGATTACTTCCTAACAAAAAAGTTGTTATCGATATCTTTTCTATGCAGAAAATTTGTTATCGATTACTTTTCAATACAAAAATGTTGTTATCGACAACATTTCTGTACAGAAAACTTGTTATCGACAGGAAAGTTGTTATCGACAACTTTTCTACACGGAAAAGTTGTTATCGACAACTTTTCTACACGGAAAAGTTGTTATCGACAACTTTTCTATACGGAAAAGTTGTTTTCGACAACTTTTCTATACGGAAAAGTTGTTATCGACAACTTTTCCACACGGAAAAGTTGTTATCGACAACTTTTCTACACAGAAAAGTTATTGTCGACAACAGAAAAATTGTTATCGAAAACATTTCTATACAAAAAAATTGTTATCGACAATTTTTCTCCACAGAAAAATTGTTATCGACAACTTTTCTACACAGACAAGTTGTTATCGACCACTTTTCTATACAGAAAAGTGGTTATAGACCACTTTGATGTCGTTTCTATTTAATTGTCCTTTAATTTTGTCTCTATAAATATAAATCCCTTTACGAATTATTTTTTTTTTGATCTAAAATCTTTCTAAGCCTTGCCCTTTTACTTAACAAAATCATTTATTAAAATATATCACTCCTTCAAAAGAAAGACTCGTTGACAGCTTTTTATTATGAAATATATAAAGCACAACTCACAGGCTTCTTTTCGTTTGACTTTTATTGATTTATAGAAACCATGTCCATTATATAAATGTTGAGAGCCCTCCTTGATATTATTGCAGGCTTTCACTTTTCATTAAGTGGTTGTCTGATAGTTTATTATGGCCTCAATAGTAATCGAATAAAAAAGTTTTATTCTGGTTTCCAGTAATCCTGACGCCACCCCACCGCAACCAACCACTTCACTTTACCCACTTGCAAAAAGAGTGTTTATATTTTTAAGAGGATAAAAAACTATTTTAATATTCAAAAGGGGGAGGGCAATTTCTAGTGGGTTGCGTTGGTATGTGTGTCAATGGAAAGCGATGTAAATAAATATGCCAATGATGAATGGGTGTGAGTACAACAAAACCTTGATCCATTAGAAATTATTTATGCACCACAACTTAAGTGGAAAAGTGGAAATCGAGGAAAGTAATTTTAGTGTAAAGAGACAAAATTTAGAATTTCCATCATTCCTTATGGAAGACACCCTTCCATTTACCACACACAATAAAAATATTGTACACATTTCATTCAGTATTGAATGAATGGAAAAATATGTTCCCAGTCTTAAGAGAATCGTGTCAAGATTTTTGTGTTATTCGATTGTTGAGCAATGGGGCCGAACAGCTAACAAAGCCAAAACAACAATTTGTTGAGCAGTTGAAATTTCTCTCAAGGGGAATGAAAATAAATTAGCACAGAGGGAGATATGAATACACAACAAAGAGCAATTTTTTCTTACAATTTTAATAAAAGGATAAATATGCCAATGAAAATGATATTCAAAGAACTTTATTTCATGTTTCCTTAGTTGTCGATAAGAAGATGTAACAACATTTTTCTAAAGAAAAATTGTCGATAACAACTTTTTTCGATAGAAAAGTTGTCGATAACAACTTTTTTCGATAGAAAAGTTGTCGATAACAACTTTTTTCGATAGAAAAGTTGTCGATAACAACCTTTTTCGATAGGAAAGTGGCCGATAACAACTTTTTTCGATAGAAAAGTTGCCGATAATAACTTTTTTCTAGAGAAAAGTTGTCGATAACAACCTTTTTTCTATAGTAAAGTTGTCGATAACAACTTTTTTCTACAGAAAAGTTGTCGATAACAACTTTTTTCTATAGAAGAGTTGTCGATAACCACTTTTTTCTATAGAAAAGTTGTCGATAACAATTTTTTTCTATAGAAAAGTTGTCGATAACCACTTTTTTTTATAGAAAAGTTGTCGATAACCACTTTTTTTATAGAAAAGTTGTCGATAACCACTTTTTTCTATAGTAAAGTTGTCGATAACCACTTTCTTCTATAGAAAAGTTGTCGATAACAACTTTTTTCTATAGAAAAGTTGTCAATAACAACTTTTTTCTATAGAAAAGTTGTCGATAACAACGTTTTTCTATAGAAAAGTTGTCGATAACAACTTTTTTCTATAGAAAAGTTGTCGATAACACACATTTTCTAAAGAAAAATTGTAGATAACACTTATTTTCTTTAAAAAATATTGTCGATAACAAAGTTTTTCTACAGAAAAGTTGTCGATAACAACTTTTTTCTACAGAAAAAATTGTCTATATCAACTTTTTTCTATAGAAAAGTTGTGGATAAGAACTATTCTCTATAGAAAAGTTGTCGATAACAATTATTCTCTATAGAAAAGTTTTCGATAACAACTTTTCGCTATAGAAAAGTTGTCGATAACAACTTTTCGCTATAGAAAAGTTGTCGATAACAACTTTTCGCTATAGAAAAGTTGTCGATAACAACTTTTCGCTATAGAAAAGTTGTCGATAACAACTTTTCGCTATAGAAAAGTTGTCGATAACAACTTTTCGCTATAGAAAAGTTGTCGATAACAACTTTTCGCTATAGAAAAGTTGTCGATAACAACTATTCTCTATAGAAAAGTTGTCGATAACAACTTTTTTCTATAGAAATGTTGTCGATAACAATTTTTTTTATATAGAAAAGTTGTCGATAACAACTTTTTTCTATAGAAAAGTTACCGGTAACAACTTTTTTTCTATAGAAAAGTTATCGATAACAACTTTTTTTCTATAGAAAAGTTGTCAATTACAACTTTTTCTAACTTTATTCGATAGAGAAGATTTCGATAACAACTTTTTTATATAGAAAAGTTGTCGATAACAACTTTTTTCCTATAGAAAGTTTGTTGACAAAAGCTTTCTACAGTAAATGTATCGATAACACTTTTTCTGTACCGTAAAAATGTCGATAACACTTATATTTAAATTTTTCTCTTTAATTAATTCACATACTTTAATAAAATGTATGAATGTGTGTGTGTGATCAAAAATGCTATATGTTTTCTTTTCCGAGATTGGCTGGTGGTTACCGTTGTTGTTGCCGCTATTGTAATCACTGCTGTAATTGTTGCTATTCGCTCTCTCTCTCTTTGTGTGTGTTGCCACTTTTACACTTCAACTATTGACTTAATAAAACAACAGTATAAACTAACTATAAAAAGCAACAACAAAAACTAGCACTTTATGAAGATAAACTTTAGACAAACAAACGGCAGGATGGATATGTTACCAGGAACCGAACCAAAGGAACCGCAAGTCATTGAAAACAAACACACAGAGAGCGACAGCTCAACTCAACTCAAATCAAAACTACCTACATATGTACGTGTGTATGTATGTGTGTTTGCAATCTAACAAAGTGAAGCTTCCTGCCAGTGTTGCCATGTGCGTGTATGCACATAGTTCAATTTGTAAGTCCCACACATCTACACACTCCCATTACACTTTTCATATTCGCAGGAAATGCGTTGCTTTCCAACTGAACTTTATTTTATTCCAATGTTTTTTTTTTGGTTTTTTTTTTCTGTTGCTTCCACTTCTCGGCAACTAGACAAGTTCGCCAGCTGTAGTGGCAATAACAGCTTTCAAAAAGTACTCTTGACTATTCATATCATTCTGTTGTGAAAAATGTAAACTATTCGCATAATATATACGCATTCACGCGTTGCACTTTACGCATGGACGGATAGTCAAAGTCATTCACACACAAAAAGGAAAATTAGTTATTAGTTATGTTTCATATGGCAAGTTATTTTCATTGCGAAGTTTTTCAATCAAATATGCGGGGGGATAGAATAAGTTAGGTTTGAAAAAAGAAAAAAAAAGTTGTCAATAACAACTGTTTCCTATAGAAAAGTTATCGATAACAACTTTTCTGCTTAGAAAAGTAGCCGATAATTAGTTTTCTACATAGAAAAGTTATTATCGATAAGGAAAGTTATCGATAATACCATTTCTGCACAGAAAACTTGTCGATAATAACTATTCTGCACAGAAAAATTATCGAAAATAACTATTCTGCATAGAAAAGTTATCGATGATAACTTTTCTGCATAGAAACATGATCGATAATAACTTCTCTGCTGAGAAAAATTATCGATAATAACTTTTCCGTAGAGAAAAGTTGTCGATAATAACTTTTCCGTAGAGAAAAGTTATCGATAATAACTTTTCCGTAGAGAAAAATTGTCGATAATAACTTTTCCGTATAGAAAAGTTATCGATATAAACTTTTCCGTATAGAAAAGTTATCGATAATAACTTTTCCGTATAGAAAAGTTATCGATAATAACTTTTCCGTATAGAAAAGTTATCGATAATAACTTTTCCGTATAGAAAAGTTATCGATAATAACTTTTCCGTATAGAAAAGTTATCGATAATAAATTTTCCGTAGAAAAAAGTTGTCGATAATAACTTTTCCGTAGAGAAAAGTTGTCGATAATAACTTTTCCGTAGAGAAAAGTTGTCGATAATAACTTTTCTGTAGAGAAAAGTTATCGATAATAACTTTTCCGTATAGAAAAGTTATCGATAATAACTTTTCCGTAGAGAAAAGTTATCGATAATAACTTTTCCGTAGAGAAAAGTTGTCGATAGTAACTTTTCCGTAGAGAAAAATTGTCGATAGTAACTTTTCCGTAGAGAATAATTGTCGATAATAACTTTTCCGTATAGAAAAGTTATCGATAATAACTTTTCCGTATAGAAAAATTATCGATAATAACTTTTCCGTATAGAAAAGTTATCGATAATAACTTTTCCGTATAGAAAAGTTATCGATAATAACTTTTCCGTATAGAAAAGTTATCGATAATAACTTTTCCGTAGAGAAAAGTTGTCGATGTTAACTTTTCTGTAGAGAAAAGTTATCGATAATAACATTTCCGTATAGAAAAGTTATCGATAATAACTTTTCCGTAGAGAAAAGTTATCGATAATAACTTTTCCGTAGAGAAAAGTTGTCGATAGTAACTTTTCCGTAGAGAAAAATTGTCGATAGTAACTTTTCCGTATAGAAAAGTTATCGATATAAACTTTTCCGTATAGAAAAGTTATCGATAATAACTTTTCCGTATAGAAAAGTTATCGATAATAACTTTTCCGTATAGAAAAGTTATCGATAATAACTTTTCCGTATAGAAAAGTTATCGATAATAACTTTTCCGTATAGAAAAGTTATCGATAATAACTTTTCCGTATAGAAAAGTTATCGATAATAACTTTTCCGTATAGAAAAGTTATCGATAATAACTTTTCCGTATAGAAAAGTTATCGATAATAACTTTTCCGTAGAAAAAAGTTGTCGATAATAACTTTTCCGTAGAGAAAAGTTGTCGATAATAACTTTTCCGTAGAGAAAAGTTGTCGATAATAACTTTTCTGTAGAGAAAAGTTATCGATAATAACTTTTCCGTATAGAAAAGTTATCGATAATAACTTTTCCGTAGAGAAAAGTTATCGATAATAACTTTTCCGTAGAGAAAAGTTGTCGATAGTAACTTTTCCGTAGAGAAAAATTGTCGATAGTAACTTTTCCGTAGAGAATAATTGTCGATAATAACTTTTCCGTATAGAAAAGTTATCGATAATAACTTTTCCGTATAGAAAAGTTATCGATAATAACTTTTCCATACAGAAAAGTTGTCGATAACAACTTTTCCATACAGAAAAGTTGTCGATAACAACTTTTCCGTATAGAAAAGTTGTCGATAACAACTTTTCCGTATAGAAAAGTTGTCGATAACAACTTTTCCGTATAGGAAAGTTGTCGATAACAACTTTTCCGTATAGAAAAGTGGTCGATAACAACTTTTCCGTATAGAAAAGTTGTCGATAACAACTTTTCCGTAGAGAAAAGTTGTCGATAACAACTTTTCCGTAGAGAAAAGTTGTCGATAACAGCTTTTGAAGCATAAAAAATATCTTCCTCTAAATACATTTTTGATTTTAGCCTTTCCGAACTACATTTCGATAACTACTTTCATTTATTAACATTTTTATTTACCCCTCTCTCATTTGCTTTGCTCTGCATTTATTCTCTGTTTGTATCGCATAATTAAAATTAGATTGCCTCTGTGATGCCAAAACAAATACAATTTTCCCATCTTTGTTTAATAGTCTCAGATAATTTTGTGCAGCACTCATTCAGCTCTGCATCACCCATCTAACATTGATGGACTGATTGACTGATTATGGCCAAACTGGATTCAATTCGATGCTCCACATTTCATTTATCATAACATCATTTCCCACAAGTGTGCTGGCAGCAGCCTACTTGCTACTACCATCGAAGCTCCTGACGATAACGATTTCGACACATAATTGCTTTTTTTGTTTCTATGCCCAGTCCTCCAATTGGAAATTGCTTTGGATAACGGGAATTGAAGCAATAGATAATGGTCCCATTGATGCAAATGCATGACAAAGGATGTAGATTTTCCTGAACAAGTCATAAATATTATTATTTTATGCCAGGGACACTCAATTGTATCGATAGTTTTACTATCGATGTGAAATAGTTTCATTTCCAATGGCGAAAATTTGAGGTTAACCCATAACCCCACAATACATTGTATTCTAACCTATAATCAATAAAATTATATGACAATACATGTGAATGTGTTAGTGTGTGTGTGTGTGGTCCATTGAGTGTGAGTGTGTTTGGGAGTATGTTTTCAACATTTCCGCTTAAATATTTTTACGGAAGTATTTGTAAAAATGTATCGGATGTTAAAATGTAATCAAAACTACAAATATAAGGAAATGCATGTTGCATACTTTTAGGCGCAGGTTGAGTAGAATACAAAATGAAAATTTATTTTCAATTTATTATCGATTTTTCTATATAGAAAACAGGTAATCGATAAATTCCCTCTATTGAAAAGTTGTTATCGATAAGTTTTATACATGATTTCTACATAATTATTCAATATATAATTATTGGTGGGCATAAAACTTCCACTCAGAAAAAATTGTTATCGATATATTCTTAATGACCTAATTATTAATTATTATAAATAATTCCTAGAAAATAATAATAATTTTTTCCGTTGCTCTAAAAATACAAAAGAAAAACGTAAACCTTTTAGAACAACAAAATTGCAAATAATTCCATCACAGTTGTTCAACAAAGAATTTGAAACACACACAAGCGGAACGAACGTAGAATAATAATTAATGTAAACAACACTAATTATGGACATAATAATAAGATCCCTTTGCTAGGACTCTAATGGGCAGCATGCCATTGCCATGAATAGAGAAGGACATTGTCAATGGTTCTGACTGAAGGAGAAATGCAAAAGTTTTGATAGTCTCTCGGACTAAAGTACACGGTAATGGATACTTGTAAGCAGATTAAATGTTAAGTAGCTCGTTTTTTTCTCTGAGAATGACAGAGAGAGGGTGGGGGGAGAGAAAAGAAAGAAGGACAAGAAGAATGCACGGAATAAGCAACTATGAGAAAAACAAAACAATTACTTAGCTGTATAAAGACAAAGAGGAGGTCGTCAAGTTGTAAATTTGCAAGGAATAAATGTTTAAAGGATAATTGTTGTGGAAAATTTTTATCGACAGGATTTTTATACGGAAATCTGGTTATCGACGATTATTCTGTGTAGAAAACGTTTTATCGATTAATTTTCTTCATAAAAAAAAAAAACTGTTATCGAAACTTTTATAAATACAAAACTTGATATCAGCAAATGTTGTGCATACAAAACTTGTTATCGACAAATTTTTATGTAGAAATCTTGTTATCGATATATTTTCTATTAAGTAACTTTGTTATCGAATCTTAAAAAACTTGTTGTACCAAAAATTTTCGTAATAAAAATCTGTAATCGAATCTTCTGTATAGAAAATTTGTTATCGACAATTTTATATGTAGGAATTTTGTTATCGATAACTTTTCAAAAAAGAAAATTTGTTATCGATAACTTTTCTATTATGTAATTTTGTTATAGACGACTTTCATGCAAAGGAATCTTGGTATCGTTTACTATTTAAAAAAAAGAAAACTTGTTATCAACAACTTTCCTATTAGGTAATTTTGTTATCGACAACGTTAATGAAACGAAATATTATTATTGATAACTTTTCATAAAAGAAAACTTGTTATCGATTAATTTTCTATTAATCAACTTTGTTATCGATAACTTTCATGCATTGGAATCTTCCTATCGATAATTTTCGAAAATAAGAAAACTTGTTATCGATAAGATTTCTATTAAGTAACTAGTTATCGACAGTTTTCATGCAAAAAAATTGTAATCGATAACTTTTCAAAAAGAAAACTTGTTATAGATAACTTCTCTATAAAGTAACATTGTTATTGATAACTTTCATACAAAAGAAGATTGTTATGGATAACTTTTCAAAAAAGAAAACATGTTATCGATAACGTTTCTGTGAAGTAACTTGATTATGGAGAACTTCCGTGCAAAAGAATATTGTTATCCATAACTTTTCGAAAATAAGAAAACTTGTTATCGATAACATTTCTATTAAGTAACATTGTTATCGATAACTTTTATGCAAAGGAATCTTTTATCGGCTGCTTTTCTATATAGAAAGCTTTTTATCGATAACTTTTCTATTAAGAAAGTTTGCTATCGATAACTTTCTATTGAGAAACTTTGTTATCGATAACTTTTCAAAAAAGAAAATTTGTTATCGATAACTTTTCTATTAATTAACTTTGTTATCGACAACTTTCATGCAAAGGAATCTTGTTATCAATAACCTTTCAAAAAAAGAAAACTCGTTATCGTTAACATTTATACCAAGTAACTTTGTTATCGACAACTTTCATGCAAATGAATATTGTTATCGATAAGTTTTCAAAAAAGAAAACTTGTTATCGATAGCGTTTCTATAGAGTAACTTGTTTATCGACAACTTCCATGCAAAAGAATATTGTTATCGATAACTTTGCAAAAAAGAAAGCTTGTTATCGATAACTTTTCTATAGAGTAACATTGTTATCGACTACTTTCATGCAAAGGAATCTTCCTATCGATAACTTTGCAAAAAATAAAATTTGTTATCGATAACTTTTCTATTAAGTAACGTTGTTATCGATAGCTTTCATGCAAAAAATCTTGTTATCGATAACTTTTCAAAAAATAAAACTTGTTATCGATAAATTTTCTATTGAGTAACTTTGTTATCGATAACTTTCATGCAAAGGAATCTTCCTATCGATAACTTTTCAAAAAATAAAACTTGTTATCGATAACGTTTCTATGAAGTAACTTGATTATCGACAACTTTCATGCAAAAGAATATTGTTATCGATAACTTTTCATAAAAGAAAACTTGTTATCGATAACATTTCTATAGAGTAACTTTGTTATCGACAACTTTCATGCAAAGGAATCTTGTTATCGATAACTTTTCATAAAAGAAAACTTGTTATCGATAACATTTCTATTAAATAATTTTGTTATCGACAACTTTCATACAATGGAATCTTCCTATCGATAACCTTTCGAAAAAAAAAAACTTGTTATCGATAACGTTTCTATAGAGTAACTTGTTTATCGACAACTTCCATGCAAAAGAATATTGTTATCGATAAGTTTACAAAAAAGAAAAATAGTAATCGATAACTTTCCCATTAAGTAACTGAAAACATGTTATCGATCATTTTTCCTTGCAGAAAACTCGTTTTTTAAAAACAAACTGTTATGGTCCACTGATCCATGAGACAACTATTATCTACAGAAAACTTGTTATCGACAACTTTTTGGCATAAAAAGCTTTTCATAAAATTTTCTATATTTAAAATTTGTTATCGATAATTTTTGATATTTTATCGAAAACTTTATGTACGCAAATTTGTTATCGACAATTTTTCTCTATAGAAAATCTGTTATCGATAACTTCTCTTTATAGAAATTTGTAATCAATAAATTTTCAATGTGTTATCAATTGTTATCGAAAATTGAAATTCCATGGAAAACTTCTTATCGAACACTTTCTGTCATCAAAACTTGTTATCCAAATTTTTTCGTTTAAGGATCGATAAATTTCCTGCTTAGGAAACATATTATCGATAACATTTTCATCGATTAGTTTTTCTTAAGAAAATGCGAAATTTTCTTAATTTCCTTCGAAATAAAAATTGTTTAATAGTTTCTCTCTATTTCCTTGCAGATGCTACAAACCGCTGCCTCCCTGATTGTCGAAGAAGAGCTGGCCCCACAAGCCGATGCCTTGCGAGGTCAACCGGAATATGCCAAGCCAAGCAGTGATGGAGGAACGGCAACAAAACGACGACCAGGCAATCGTAAACGTAAGCGTAGACCCCAAGTGGCTGCAAGTGGAGGTAGTGAAGAGATGGCCTCAGGACCTACAGCGCCCAGTCCCATAACCCACAATTGGCGTGTCTCGTCCAGTGAGGAAACTTTTAGAAATGATTTCAAGCCTGTGGCAAGTCCCAGCAGTGTGGCCGAAAGGAGATCAACATCTCCCGCTCAATCTCCTGGTGGAGGAAGACGAAGGAAGCCGGCAACCATTCGGGAACCCTTGGCCGCCTTAGAAAAGGAACAAAAGCTATATGAAATGCGTAACACCAAAACGCCGGGCACCAAGACGACATCCAGCTCCAACAAAGAAAATTCCAAGGGAAGCTCGACAAATCGTAATTCGGAAAATGTGAAAAATATTTTGAAAAACAGTGGCGGCTTAAGTTTGAGTGAAATTTTACAACAGAAAAATCTCTCCCTGGATGATCTGCTCAAGGGTAAACAAAATGCCCTGCAAGCTTTGCAGACCACTGCCACAACAGTTAGCCATAATGCCACAAAGGATTCCGGTGCCCGTTATACGGCCAAACCAAAATTTAAGCTCAGTACCACCTCGGTAAAGTCCACGGCAAATCAGGATGCCAAGGAGCATTCCAAGTTGACGGCCTTGCAGAAATTAAAGCTATTCGGGGCTGCCTCTAGGCCGGTGGGATCTCAGGTGGGTCTGGTGGATCATTTGACGACAAGGAAAAAAGAGGGAGGGGCAACAACGACCAGTACCACGACCACAACCACTGCGGCGCCCACCACCCGCATTCCGCTGTACAAGAAACTTTTGCATCAACGATCCACCTTGAGGCCGGCATTTTTGTTGAAAAATTCCCGGATGACATTGGCCAGTGTGGAACCGGAGCATGATACCACCACATTGGCCATGGGTATACGGGAAGCCAACTCAAGGGAGATGGAAGAGGATGATGAGAATTTCGATGATGAAGATTTGGAAAATAGCACAGCCACAGTTGATAGCTTGGAGGTCACCACATGGAGGGCCGAAACCACCACAACGCCCCCGCCCACAAGGCGTCCTCAGCCTACACAAATCACCGCCAAGCCCATTACCAAATTTAGCACCCTGCGAGAGAGGGCCAACTCTCTCAAGGAACTGAGTACAACAAGGCGCATGTATTCCACCACTCGGGGTCTTGGCAGGGCCACAAATCGTTTCACCACCAGCAGTAGCACGGTGGAGCCTCCACAGACCACCACATCTGTGGGCGATGCCATGACCACTACATCTCAGACAACCACGACGACGACAACAAAAGCAACGACAACAACCGCCAGCAGCAGCACCATGAATTTAACACCTCGGGCCAATTTAAATCTCAACACCGATGACATTCGGGAACGTATCCAGGAAACCCTGCTCAAGAATCTCATTGAAAAAGAGCAGGCATTTAAAAAACAAAATTTTGCCTCCAAGGAAACGGCGGCGGAGGAGGACAATGATGATGATTTGGAGAATTTCTTTGAGGAGTCAGTGAAACCCAAGGCCAGTAATGCCCTGGAAACCTCCACCATTACCACAAGGATGAAACAATACAGTTCAGCCATACCCAGCTCCACACCACTACCGCCAGCTACCCAGCAAACCTCCAACAGCATACCGGACTATGACAACGTAGATGATCGCACCGATCTGTTGGAGCTAATTGAGGATCGGCGATCAGGCAATCGCTTGTTTAAGGTGTTGGAGCAACGCAACATGACCCTGGATGAGCTGATTGAACATCGCAAACGTGGCTCCAGCCAATTGCATTTGGCCACCATTGTTCAGACGCCCTCCCGCTATTATCCCGACAAGAAAGTTCTGCTGCAGGACAACATGGACATTGTGACAGCCTTTGAAAATTTCCCCCATTTCAATTTGCTCAATTTGAAAAGTGTCAAACCAGATGACATTAAAACCGATTCACAGGGTTCCAGTTATTTCACCTCGATCATTGACATCGAGCCCACCGATGAGATTTACAAAAAGGGCCAGGCCTCACCGGGACTCAATGAAAAAGGTGCGTCCCACAATTATGTTAGCCATAATCGTTTGGATCGTAGACGCCAGCTGAGAGGCTCTTCCAGATATTTGTATCGTGGTTATCCTAGAATCAGAGAAGACAGGCAGTAGAGGGGAGGAGATAAATTAGAGAGAGGAAGAGTTTCGGAGATCTTTAATTTCCCCTTTTCCCAAATAAAATTTCATCAGATGGGAGCTGAGGCTGCTGCTGCTGCTGAGGCGGTTGTCAAATGGATTTCAAAACAAAATTTTTTTCATTGGCCAACAAATCAGAAAATCTCCTGCAAAAATTTTGCATTAAAAAGAGACAGTAATTTTTTATGAAAATTTGGAAGCCGCTAAAGCAGCAGTAAGCTCTCATCTCCATACAAAGGCAAGTAGGTGGAGTCCTGGATGAAATTATTTTAGGTTCCGGAAACAAAAAGTATTTAAATGTCGCTAAAATCATCAAAAATACCGAATATCGGGAGGTATCTTTATATGGGGGCTATACGAAGACGTGGACCTGCTTGGACAATTTTCCGTCATAGGCTGTAGTATCCATTACGAACTTCAAGTACCAAATTTGAAACATTTCCGGTGAAAAAAGTCGCTTAAATCATCAAAATACCGAAAATAGGGAGGTACCATTATATGGGGGCTATAAGAAGGCGTGGATCTGCACAGACAATTTTCTGTCATAGGCTGTGGTATCCATTTCGAACTTCAAATACCAAATTTGAAACAATTCCAGTAAATAACGTCGCTAAAATCATCAAAATACCGAATATCGGGAGATACCTTTATATGGGAGCTATACGAAGGCGTAGACCTTCACGGACAATTTTCTGTCATAGGCTGTAGTATCCATTACGAACTTCAAATACCAAATTTGAAACAATTCCGGTGAATAATGTCGCTTAAATCGCCAAAATACCGAATATCGGGGGGTACCGTTATATGGGGGCTATGCGAAGACGTGGACCTGCACGGACAATTTTCTGTCTTAGGCTGTAGTATCAATTACGAACCTCTAATACCAAATTTGAAACAATTCCGGTGAAAAAAGTCGCTAAAATCATCAAAATGCCGAATATCGGGAGGTAACGTTATATGGGGGCTATACGAAGACGTGGACCTGCACAGACAATTTTCTGTCATAGGCTGTAATATCCATCATGAACTTCAAATACCAAATTTGAAACAATTCCGGTGAATAATGTCACTAAAATCACCAAAATACCGAATATCGGGAGGTATCGTCATATGGGGGCTACACGAAGGCGCGGACCTGCACAGACAATTTTCTGTCATAGGCCGTAATATCCATCATGAACTTCAAATACCAAATTTGAAGCAATTCCGGTGAATAAAGTCGCTTAAATCATCAAAATACCGAATATCGGGAGGTATTGTCATATGGGGGCTATACGAAGATGTGGACCTGCACAGACAATTTTCTGTCGTAGCCTGTGGTATCCATTACGAACTTCAAATACCAAATTTGAAACATTTCCGGTGAAAAAAGTCGCTTAAATCATCAAAATACCGAAAATAGGGAGGTACCATTATATGGGGGCTATACGAAGGCGTGGACCTGCACAGACAATTTTCTGTCATAGGCTGTAATATCCATTACGAACTTCAAATACCAAATTTGAAACCTTTCCGGTGAATAATGTTGCTAAAATTATCAAAAACACCGCATATCGGGAGGTACCTTTATATGGGGGCTATACGAAGGCGTGGACCTGCACAGACAATTTTCTGTCTTAGACTGTAGTATCCATTACGAACTTCAAATACCAAATTTGAAACAATTCCGGTGAATAATGTCGCGAAAATCATCAAAATACCGAAAATAGGGAGGTACTATTATATGGTGGCTATACGAAGACGTGGACCTGCACAGACAATTTTCCGTCATAGGCTGTAGTATCCCATACGAACTTCAATACCCATTTTCAATACCAAAAGTCCTGCAGACATGATATACATTTGAGTAAAATTTAATCAACCTACTTCATTTCATTCAGAAGCTAGAGTGATTTCCACAGACGAATAGACCGACGGACATCGCTAAATCGACAGATTAGTTGGTTCCTAAAAAAACTCTTAGAAGTCCATAAAAGTTGTTTTTGTTTTTTTTTAATTTAGTCCTTAAAAATATTCTCTAAAAAATCGGAAATCTCCATTTTTTTCCTTCCAAAAAATCCTTTTCAAAAAAAAAAAACTTTGAAAATAATATCTGGAGGATTCATTCCAAGTCGATTTTAAAATTCCATATAAGTCAGCACCCCAAGGTGGCCCCTGACTTTTCCCCAAATCATCATCCTCCGTAACATGTTTTTCAATTCAATTTCCATTCTCTCATTTCAGTTGCCCTGTTACCCGATCGCTCTGACAAATCCCTGGGGTTCTTTCCCTCATGGAAGACCTTGGCTTTGGCCTCCTTGGCCACAACGACAACCACCAAAAAAGATAGTCCCAAACAAGCCCCCTTCTATTTGGCGCAACCCAAAATGCTACTGGAAAACAACAACGGCAATAATTCCGATGAAGATGATTACGAGATTCGGGAAAATGAATTGGTATTGATTAACAACGATGACAGTGGAGACGACAACGAAGATGGTGACTCCTCCAATGCGGCAGATGTTGATTATAGGCCCCAATCACCGGTACAGGCTGCGGTGCGTGTTGCTGGCTCGGCCAGTCTATCGCCTGGCGATAATTTAGAAAATCAAGCCCACGATTTGGTTGACTTGGAATTATCAGGTCATGGTTTCAAACGTAGCCCCATGGCAGCTGGTGCCCTGGCCGGTGGCAATCAGCACAAAAACTTTTATGCAAATATGCCTGCCGGCATTAAGTCAGCCATTGTGGCCAGTGCCACCATTGTAATGACAGCTCTTGTTACGTTCATGGTTATTTTTGCGGTGTGTCGCTGGAAACAGAAACATAGTCGCATGTCGAACATTATGAAATCCTATAATGCCATGAAAAGTAAATTGCCACCCATTGCCATGACGCAGACAACAGCCGCCTCCGCAGGTGGTGGAAATGCAATGGCCAGCACTTCGTGTACACGACATTCGTCGCTGCGCGAAATGAATAGTTTATTGGGTGGCAGTGGTCTATCGGTGGCGGCCACGATTACCACGACAACCACAGGAGTGCCAAATACCCCCTCACCGACCACTTCACAGACAACAGTGGCCCTGAGCACCTCGACGACAACGCCAACGGCAGCCGGCGCATCATTATCATCAGGTGGTGGATTGCGTGAAAGCAGCAGAAAATACAATCCCCTTATCCAGCACAGTAGTGGCCCGCAGCATATGCAAAGACCCAGCTCCTTGCTATTTCATCGGCCGCCACCAGCGAACAACAAAAACCACCAACAGCATCAGCAACAACAGCAGCCCACAAATCTAGCCATTCTAAGCAATTGTAATCTGTCGGATCTACGAAGAACCAGTGCAAATGATTTAAGAGGTTCAACGACATCGTTGAGTTTCTCACTGACCAGTGGCCACAACATTCCCAGCACACACATAAACAGTATGGATGCCAATTCGCCGGAAGTGCAAGAATATCTCTTCGATACGCTAAGGAATTCATTTTAATAGGAATTAAGAGACAGAGAGAGAGAGAGAGAGAGAAAATAATATCTGGTGGAAGTTTTTCTGAAACTAAAAAATATGGAGAACAACAAAAAACATGAATTGTTTAATTTCTGTGGTATTTTTTCTGAAACTCAACAACAACAACTACAACAATACAACACAATATAAATACACAAATTTAAACAAGGTTTAGTAGGTTTTAATTACAAAAACAAAAAAGATTCACAAAAATTAAAAACAAAAAAAAAATAAAATATTTAAATATGGAAAATAAAATTAAAAATAAATGGGAGGTAAATTCGGCATGGCCGATTAAATTGTAAATTCCACAAGAAAATGGAGAAATTTTCTTAAAAATAAATAATTTTTGTGGGGGCCTATACCCCCTATTCGCTTGAAAAACAGTGACAAAAATCTAGAAATCGGGCGATACGTCTATAGAGGTCATTATCCAATGATGGACCTAGACTGGCAATATTTGACAATCTAGTTTTCCAATAACCGAGAGCTCCAAATACAAAATTTCATACAATTCGTTTCGAAAATTAAGGCTAAAACCTACAAAATTGAAGAAATCGGGCGGTTCGTCTAAAGGGGTCAAAACCCAAACATGGACCTATCTTGACAATATTTGGCAAGGAGGTTCTTTAATTAATAGGAACACAAAATATTCAATTTCAGCCAATTCGGATGGAAAATTGTGCATAAAATCCACAAAATTCCAGAAAGCGGGCGGAACGTCTATAGGGGCTTTATCCAAATATAATACTATGTTGATAATAATTTGTAAGGAGGTTTTGCAATAGCTGAGAATCCGAATTACTAAATTTCAGTTAATTTGCTTGAAAAATCTAACAAAAATCGACAAAATTCAAAAATCGGACGATATTTTCTAAAGGGGGCTATATCTAAATTTGGACCTACAGTGACAGTATTTTGCAAGAAAGTTATCTGCCGAATAAGAACCCTGAATATTAAATTCCAGTCAATTCCGTTGGAAAATGATAGATAAAAACCACAATGTTCCTGAAATCGGGCGGTGCGTCTAAAGGGGCCCAACCTCAAACATAGACCCATCTTGACAATATTTTGCAAGGAGGTTCTCTAATTAATAAGAACCCAAAATATTTAATTTCAGCTAATTCGGATGGGAAATGGTGCCTAAGGTCAGCAAAATTCCAGAAATCTAGCGGTACGTCTAAAGAGACCTATACCCAAATATGGACCTAGGTTGATAATATTTTGCAATAAGATTTTCTAATACATAAGGGCAGAAAATATCAAATTTCCGTCAATTCGCTTGAAAAAATTTGACAAAAATTGAAATAATTCAAAAATCGGGAGGCATCTCTTAAAGGGGACTATATCTAAACTTGGACCTACAGTGAAAGTATTTTGCAAGGAGGTTATCCGACGAATAAGAACTCCAAATAACAAATTTCAGCCAATTCGTTTGGAAAATGATGGCTAAAATCCACAAAATTCCTGAAATCGGTCGGTGCTACTGAAGGGGGCTTGTCCTAAATATGGACCTATATTAGAAAAAATTTACATAGAGGTCTTCCCTTGAATAAAAATCTCAAATATCATATTCCAGTCAATTCTGTTGGAAAATGGTGGCACAAATTCACAAAATTCCTAAAATCGGACGGTACGTCTAAAGGGGGCTATAGCTAAACATATACCTATGTTGATAATATTTTGTAAGGAGGTTTTGCCATAGCTGAGAAGCCGAATTACTAAATTTCAGCCAATTCGCTTGAAAAATCTAACAAAAATTTGACAAAATTCAAAAATCGGACGATATTTTCTAAAGGGGGCTATATCTAAACTTGGACCTACAGTGACAGTATTTGGCAAGGCGGTTTTCCAATGAATATAGCTAAACATATACCTATGTTGATAATATTTTGTAAGGAGGTTTTGCAATAGTTGAGAAGTCGAACTCCTAAATTTCAGTCAATTCGCTTGAAAAAATGTGACAAAAATCGACAAAATTGAAAAATTGGACGGTATCCCTTAAAGCGGGCTATATCTAAACTTGGACCTACAGTGACAGTATTTTGCAAGTAGTTTTTCCGTCGAATAGGAAACCCAAATAGCAAATTCCAGCCAATTCCGTTGGAAAACTATAGATAAAACCCACAACATTTCTGAAATCGGGCGGTACGTCTAAGAGGCACAAACCCAAACATGGACCTATGTTGACAATATTTTGCAAGGAGGTTCTCTAATTAATAGGAACCCAAAATATTCAATTTCAGCCAATTCGGATGGGAAATGGTGCCTAAGGTCAGCAAAATTCCAGAAATCTGGCGGTACGTCTAAAGAGACCTATACCCAAATATGGACCTAGGTTGATAATATTTTGCAATAAGATTTTCTAATACATAAGGCAGAAAATATCAAATTTCAGTCAATTTGCTTGAAAAAATTTGACAAAAATTGAAATAATTCAAAAATCGGGAGGCATCTCTTAAACTTGGACCTACAGTGACAGTATTTTGCAATGAGGTCTTCCCCTGAATAAGAAATTCGAATATAAAATTTCGGAGAGTTCGTTTGGAAAATTATGGCTAAAATCCACAAAATTCTATAAATCGGGTGATAGGCCTAAAGGGCCCTACACCCAAATATGGATTTAGCTTAACTATATTTTGCAAGGAGTTCTTCGCCTGAATAAGAAACCCAAATACCAAATTCCAGTCAATTCGGTTGGAAAATGTTGCCTAAACTCTACAAAAGTCCTGAAATCGGGCCGTACGTCTAAAGAGGGCTACTCCGAAACATGGACTTATATTGGAAATATTTTGCAGGGAGGTTTTCCATGAAATAATAACCCTAAGCGCCAAATTTCAGCTCATTCGTTTGACAATTGGGCCAAATATAGAAAAAATTCACAAATCGGACGGTACCCCTTAAAGGGGGCTATATCTAAACAAGTACCAATATTGGAAGTATTTTGCAAGGTGGTATTGGCCTATAAAAGAAACACAAATACCAAATTTCAGCCAATTCTGATGGAAAATAGTGGCCAAAATTCCAAAAAAAAAAAAAAAAAAATACCGAAATCGGGCGGTACGTCTAAAGGGGGCTATTCCTAAACATGGACCAATATTGGAAATATTTTGCAGGGAGGTTTTCCAATAAATAACAAACATAAATAACATATTTTAGCCAATTCGGTTGGCCACAAGAGCCACAAATACTAGATTTTGTCCTATTCGTTTGGAAAATTGAGGGGAAATGCCAAAAAATCGATGAAATTTGGGGTACGGCTTAATTCCTAAACATTGACATTTATTGCAAATATTTTGCCAGAAGCCTTTACAGTTCTTCAGGAGCCAAGTCACTAAGTTTCAGCCAATTCAGTTTAAAAATGGTGACAAAAATCCCAAATACTCAAATATCTGACCTACTTATACTGGGAATAGACTTATACTGTCACTATTTGCGAAGAGGTTTTCCAATTATTAAAAAACCCAAAATTGATGTTAAAATATCAAATTTTCAAAAATATTTTTGAAAAATTATTCTAAACTTTTTTTTTAATTTTTCCTGAAATATTCAAAAAATATCTTTAATTTTCTTGTGGAGTTAACAAAAATGTATAACACAAAATCTCTCCTACACCGGTGATTTTGTTAAAAAGGGGTTTCCATAACAAACATCAACAGCACAGAGCGAAAGACACAACACTTTAGTGTCAATTACATTCAAATTATAGAATTAAAATAAAATAAAAAAACGTTTTTAAAATAAAAAACATTATATTGTTTTTGTTTCAAATCTTAGAGACCCAAACACAAAATAAACACACACACACAACATATTTTTCGTGACAATAATCTAAGGGAAAAAACACAAAAAAAAAAAAACTAAATCATTTCAAATTAGAAAAAAAAAACTGAAAACTAAATATTTGAACAAAAGTTTGAAAAATTATGCAACTTCTAATTTTTTGTTTTTTTTGTTTTTTTTTTGGCACACAAAGTGTATTGGAACTGAAACACAATATTCAATTGACCTAATTTCAACAGCAAATATTCAATTTGTAGATTTGTTTTGTTCTTTTGTTTTCTATTTGTTATTGTATACCAATTATTGTTATCATAATTATTATCATTTTTATTTTTAATTGTTATATTTTTCTTAGCATTAATTATTCGTTATTTTATTATTTTGTTGTATTTGTATTCGTTTTCTGTAATAATTGCAATTATTTTTTTGGAAATTCAAATATTACTTATATTTTGTTTACTACCAACAACTAACATGTTCATAGATTTTAAAACAAACAAGAAATAAAACCCACAATGGCAACAAGAACAACAAATATATACACACACTATATGTATATTTATATATAATATTATTAATATATATATAACACTTATGATTACATTTAATGTAGAATAAAAAAAATACAAGAAATAATTTTCAATAAAAATGTTTAATAAAAAAAACCAACGAAGTAAATTTAATTTTGGGAAAGTAGTAATGAGGCTTTCCTTTCTTCGGCGTTCCACAATGAAAATAAAAGGGGGCAAATATTCATAAAAGTCTTTTAAACTGCGAAACCAAGCTCGAAAACATGCAAAAAATATTTTCGTTTGGTTATAACCAAATTTGCTTGTGACATTTTTTCAAAATATATTACACCAACACATTTCATTTGTTCGTTGACCTATAGTGAAATTACTCGAAGAACAATTTTCTCATTGACATCATCATCCTAAAATGTAGCACTGAGGAAAAATTTTTCGAAATCCTAACCTAACTAACCTCAAAAACAAGCAATAAATGTTCTTTTTGTTTTAACCAAGTTTGTTTGATATATTTTCTCGTTATATATCATACATACAAATTTCTTTTGCTAGGAGACCTAAAGTGGAAGTTGACGGAGAATAATATTCTCCTTGACATCATCAACCTAAAATAAAGCACTGAGGAAAAAAATTCAAAATGCGAAACTAACCTCAAAAACAAGCAAAAAATATTTTCTTTTTGTTTCAAGCAAATTTGTTTTC